GCCCCCCCCCCCCGCCCCCCCGCCACAGGCTTGTAGCCTGCCCCGCTCCCTCCCTTCCCTCCGACTTGAACTTGTGTACAGCCCAGGCTACAAACCTGACCTCCGGAGGGTTGCCCTCTCCGCAGGCCCTCTGGCCTGCCCTCTAACCTGGACTTCACTTCCTGTGCTCGTGCCACCTGCTTCTCCTGCTGGTCCAGGCTGCGGAGGGCCACGGTAGGTGGAGACCAGGAGTTGGGGCGGCTCTGAGCACAGATAGGGTCTGGATGGAGAGATCCCGACCGCCTTACTATTCTACTTGAGGGGGTGAGTTAAGGTCAGGCCCCCACGGCAAGAAATAATAGCTTGCCCTGAAGTGCGCGCAGGAAACCCTCCTTCTCTGGATAGATAAGCCACAACCATTTGCACCTGTCCACTCACCAGATTTCAGGCCAAACCTCAGGGACTGAATTGCTGACACCTGCCCCCCACCTTGAACATCATTCCAGAACTTCCAGCACACCCTCCTGGCAGTCACATACTCTGTCCTTCCCAGACGCACTCACTTATCTGCAGCAGTAAGGCGAATCCCTCAGAATCAGCTCCCCAACTCCTGGAACTCAACTGGGATGGTGCCCTGGTGCGAACCTGGTGGCCTCCTCCCCACCACCTATAAAGTGATCCTACCCTCTAGAGTCCAAATTATCCTGAATTTTGGCCCTTATCCAGCCTGGTCCTCTCTCCCTGACCCATCACAGTATGACGTGGGCCCAAGAGAGGACCGGAATAGTAAGGGCCACAGGAATATCTGTGTGACGCCTGTGCACGCGAGTGCCAATAGGAGTCCAGCAGCATATTTAACTGAAGGGACCCCGCGAAAGACACTAAATGCTTCTTTCTGAAGTCCCCAAAGCGCAGCTTGTCATTACTCATACACAAGCTTGTAGTTTGGACTGCCGTGTAGCTGCGACAGCTCGACAGCAGGCCCACATCACACTTCCGCCTCCCCCAGTCACTTCTGCCAGCACTCTGCAAATCAGGGTGTGTACTGTGTGTGTGTGAAGGGTGGGAAAGTAGCTGGAGAAACACATTAACAAATGTACACACACTTTTAGTGTCCAGCTTTACGTTTTTTTTTTTTTTTAAATTATTGTATACTGATCCCATCCTGAGGAATTAACAGCCTCATTTTATAGATGAGCAAACAGGTTCTAGAAGTAACTTGCCTTGAAATTCATTTTTATGTTTACAGAGGACAATAAAGACTAGAAAAGTCTGAGGAGGAAGCAGGATAAGCCTGAGAGGAAGGATCAGTAGCCAGGCAGAAATGTGCAAGCCTGTGTATGGATTTCCGTGAGGGGACAGGGAGGGCATAAAGAGGACAGTGAGTTTGGTTCGATGAGGCGGCAGAGTTCCTAGTGGGAAGCAGAAATGAAAATAGCAGTAGTCTGGAAAAGACCACAGAAGAAAATCCTCAACGTGCTGATGGGCTAAGGAAGTCTGAGCTGGGAAGACCAGTAAGGGTATGAGGGGTCAGCAGGTGGCGTGGCGGTTAAAGTGGCTGGATCCCACGTGGTCAACTGCACAGTTTGAGTCCCCATGCATCGGCTTGAAAAACACGCTGGGAATGTTTCTGTGCATGCCTAAAATACCAAGAGGAGGATGGAGAAGGGATTATGGTGTGGTCATCCTCCCCGGGGGGGGGGGGGGCTTTCTCACTGTCCCCATCCCTCCCCTGCTCCCGTGTGTCTCTGGCAAGCACTTGTGCCCTATAGCAAAATGCTAAAAAAAAAAAAATATATATATATAGAAATAGAAATAAAAAAAAAAAAGAAAAAAAAAATGATATGCCTAAGACACTTGTAGTCCCTGAGAGTATGTTGGAGGTAAGAGCAGGGACAAGGGTGGAAGATGCTAGCCCCACAGTACCACACAGGAGAAACGAACCCGCAAGGCCAGTGGGCTCCTTAGGCCCGAGTTCTCACGGAGCTGCCAGGGTTGCCCTCAGTACCTTGGGAGGTGGCAGGTGGGCTGGTGTGCTAGGTTCCACTCAGCTCTACTCTTGGCCTGTCTTCCTCCTCTGGATGCTCTGATGATGGACTCAGAACCTCACATTTGAGATGAGTGAAATGTGATTTTTTTTTTTGGAAAGGTTTTTGCTATAGGGCATGTGTGCTGGCCAGAGAGACAGAGACAGAAAGCGAGAAATCACCCCCAAGGGGGGATGGCCATGCCGCAACCTTTTCCTCCATTCTCCTCTCAGGATTTTGGGCAAGCACACACACATGCCCGGTGTGAGTTTAAGCCACCGGGTCTGGGACTCAAACTGTGGTCAACTACATGGAAGTCCAGTGACGTAGTCATTATACCATCTGCTGGTCCCAAAACGTGTGATTTTAATGCTGAGTTCCAGGATGGCCACTTGCTAACCTGTCTCTGGGCAGTTACTTCAGTATTCCTGGCGACCCAGATTCAGACACAACCCATTTCTCCCTGCTGTCCTCCCAGTCAATCTGGACCTAGTTAAAATGATCAGATGTGAAGGCAAGGAATGGAACTTTCTATAGGAAGTCCCTTTGATAACAGTATCCCTGTCTGTGAACCAAGCTGATAAAATGAATGAGGGAATGCCAATAGTAGAAAAGCAGCAGCTCTATATCAAACCCAGAAATTGATCCTAACCTAGCCACGAAGTTGTGCCCTGGTGCGCAGGCATGTCGCTGGTCGAGGAAGCTAAGGCGTCCTAATGCTGCTACTCCCCTGGGTTGTGGCTTCACAGCGTGGCTGGAAAATCCCACTTGGGAACCTTCCGGAGTGCTCCACGCACAACACAACACAAACACAAGTTTTGTTTTCGTGAGGTGATTTCCCCCAACTCTGATGACAGTGGTTGAGGGGAGCCTTGGCCGGCTGGTCTCAGAACCGATTCTCAGCCACCTACACGCTGGGGTTTGGCGCCAGGCTCTGCACGAGCATTTACTCACTGTAGCAGGGATCCTAGGTGAAGGGGCTGGGCATGGACTCCTCGGTTCCCTGAGGCAAGAGCACTTGGGCCTAGTCAGGTTGCCCTGCTTCCTGTTCAGTGGGGCAGCATTTGTTCTTGCTCTGCCGTCTCCGCCTCTGGCTTGCCCAGCACTTTCCCTTTTGGTGGTGTAATCTTTATTTTGGCGACATATACAGCTGAGGTGTTCCTTCAGTAGGGATTGTCACCAGTGTGACAGTGCACAGTCTCACTGTCCCACTGCGCCTCAGAAGCCTGTTCTGCCTGTTAGGTTTTCCTCCCAGCCAGTCGTCTTGCTGTCAGGCCCAAAGCTGGGCCTTCTGGTTTGCCCTCTCTGGACTCCAGCCTAGGGAATGGTTAGCAAGGAAAAGGGAGTGTCAGGACATGTTCACGGGTGCTGGAAAACCACCCACCACCGCTTCCTCAGCTTTAGCATGCTGCGTTGAAAAACAACAAAACCAAAAACCCTACCAGCAGCTGGCCGGACAGAGAAGCCTCTGTGGCTCCATGTCCAAAAGAAACACAACTATCCACTTTTGCTCAGATTCCGTACATCCCCAGGTAGGTGACTGCTTAAAATCAGTTTTACGTCACCCAAGAAGAGCCTCAAGGTAGAGATAAGAAAAGCTAGCGTGAGTTCTTGCTAGGCCAGGCACTGTGCTAAACACTTTTCACTATTAATTCACTTGGTCCTAACAAACCCTGAGGCTGATAGCATAGCTATTCTAACAAATGAAGGAACTATGGCTCAGAGAGTTTAAGTTAACTTGCCAAGATCAAACAGCTAGTGTGGTGAATACACAAAGCCCGCGCCCCCGGCCAAGTATGGCAATGTCTGCTTCTACATGGGCTGTCACCTCGCCATTCCTCCACCCCAAGAAAAACGCTCACAGGTAGTCCCTGCATCAACCTGTCAGAAGGAAGAAAGAAATACGGGCCTGGTTCTGGAACTTGAGGCCTCAGGCAACAATGCCCAGCCCTTCTATGAGCTCTAAGAATCCTCTGAGAAGAGGTAGCAGTCTGTGCCTCCCCTCAGCGGCATGCTCAGAGCTGCTGCCCGACTGGAGGCTGGAGGTGGCTGAGCCCCCCTCTGCGGTGTATGGTTTCTAGGTCCTGGGTTCTCTAAAAAGGGAGCCAGGTCCAGGATATTCCTTTCCAGCACTCTGCCCAGTAAGAGAAAATATTTTAACCTAGATACCAGGAGGCAAGATTCAGAGAGCTCTACTAGTGTTCACCAAATCCTACACTCCTGCCGCGTAGGAGGTGCTCAGTAACTCTTGAATGAGCATGGGGAATGAGGTAAGAATGACTACTGAGTTTCTGACTGCAACACACGCTCTCAGTGGGTTACATAAATGTAAACTGTGTACACCTGCAGCTTTTCTAGATACAGGAGCCATTCATAAAAACAATCGGAAGAATCCAAAGCAAGAGGAAGAAATCAATTTAAAAACTAAGGGATAGGGCAGGGGAGTAAACAGATACTTAACCATACCCAGTCCCAAACAAGCATTACCAAACACAAATTCACTGAGAAAAAGCAGTTTAATAACACACACACATATTCATAGGGAGTTCTTGCTAGGCCAGGCACTGTGCTAAACACTTTTCACTATTAATTCACTTGGTCCTAACAAACCCTGAGGCTGATAGCATAGCTATTCTAACAAATGAAGGAACTATGGCTCAGAGAGTTTAAGTTAACTTGCCAAGATCAAACAGCTAGTGTGGTGAATACACAAAGCCCGCGCCCCCGGCCAAGTATGGCAATGTCTGCTTCTACATGGGCTGTCACCTCGCCATTCCTCCACCCCAAGAAAAACGCTCACAGGTAGTCCCTGCATCAACCTGTCAGAAGGAAGAAAGAAATACGGGCCTGGTTCTGGAACTTGAGGCCTCAGGCAACAATGCCCAGCCCTTCTATGAGCTCTAAGAATCCTCTGAGAAGAGGTAGCAGTCTGTGCCTCCCCTCAGCGGCATGCTCAGAGCTGCTGCCCGACTGGAGGCTGGAGGTGGCTGAGCCCCCCTCTGCGGTGTATGGTTTCTAGGTCCTGGGTTCTCTAAAAAGGGAGCCAGGTCCAGGATATTCCTTTCCAGCACTCTGCCCAGTAAGAGAAAATATTTTAACCTAGATACCAGGAGGCAAGATTCAGAGAGCTCTACTAGTGTTCACCAAATCCTACACTCCTGCCGCGTAGGAGGTGCTCAGTAACTCTTGAATGAGCATGGGGAATGAGGTAAGAATGACTACTGAGTTTCTGACTGCAACACACGCTCTCAGTGGGTTACATAAATGTAAACTGTGTACACCTGCAGCTTTTCTAGATACAGGAGCCATTCATAAAAACAATCGGAAGAATCCAAAGCAAGAGGAAGAAATCAATTTAAAAACTAAGGGATAGGGCAGGGGAGTAAACAGATACTTAACCATACCCAGTCCCAAACAAGCATTACCAAACACAAATTCACTGAGAAAAAGCAGTTTAATAACACACACACATATTCATAGGACTTTAAATAGGATGTAGTATAAAATCTTAGGAAAAAAAAGAATAAAGAAATCTGCACTTAGTGTCTAAGAGCTGGTGGCATAACTGGCTGGCAGGACTGCCCGGGGAAAACAGACACCCAGACACCGGGCGCATCATTCACGAGTGAAGTAACCACCAGGTCGTGCTGACTGCTCCAAATGCCCAGTCGCCTTTACCCACTCTTGTCTCCCTAGAGACAAAACCAGGACAGTCATCCCGTAATTCTCCAACTCAGTAACTTGTTAATGGGTCACCTCTTTTAGTTTTTTTAATTTAAAAATTACTCTTGGTCTGAAGACTTCACACTTCATTACTGGCCAGTCCCCACCAGCCGTAATCGTTTTGATAAAAATTAAAAATCTAAATGTCTCAACTGAGTCCAGATGACAACATGGCGCTTGCTCTCTCACACCCGGAGAAGGTATCTGTGATGTCAAAAGCAAGCTACTACTTGCACTTTAAAACAAAAATAAAACGCCAACCTTCCAAAAGGTGACAAAGGCACCACTGCCATCAGGAGATATGACAGAAAATGTACAAATGCCATTACTTCACTGCTACATAGACGTGTTTTGTGCATGGAGGGCCGCTTCACTTCACATGATATCATAGAGTTCTATTTGCGGATAACAAGAAGAGCAGTTTAGAAAAGGCATACAGTTACACACAGAAGCGTAAACACCTACAAGTACCTTATTTTCAGCTTGCAGTAAGGTAGTAAGTCTGACATACATATCCAGAACATTAGACAGGGTGAGTTTTTGGCACAGCAATATTGCCAAACACACCACCACTCAGTGCAAGCTCTGTCTGCCAAGTGCCACGAGTGGCTTGACGTTCTCTGTGCAAATGAATATTCTCTCCCTCTACCATCCCATTCACTGGGCGACGACAGCAGGAAGGAGACAAAGCAGGGAACTCCAGATGGAGAAGGAAAATACTTGATTTGGGAAAATACTTGATTCGGGCCATTTGTGCTAAAAGAGAATTGCAAAATTGTAACAAAAACCCAAATGCAAATACTGTTTGGACTATGACCTGGAGAATGAAGACCTCTACCAGAGTCCTAACTGTGAGGGCCTAAACTGACACCTGGCCGTTTATTTTAAAGGGACAGATAAAGTATTTTTGTTGAATGGAGAAAGATAATTAAAAATAGAGAATTTTCTCTTAGAACTGTTAAATAAAAATGTATCAAAGTGGTTTTAACTCTGATGAGCAGTCACCTGTTGGAACTGCAATATAAAAGGGTCACTTAGAAACACCTGAATAGCCCACCTGTCCCCTTGTCAATGTACACGATTAGAAAATATTTACACACTGTAATTACAAGCAATAGAAGCAGTATTATATACTTCTGAGATTTTGTACACTTTACACAATGCAAAATGAGGAAAATATGAACACTTATAAAATTACACACAAATAATGTATCTACAGAGTATTAAATTACAGAATGAAAGCCCCCAATGGCGGGCAGATAGATGCCAGAGTTTCGAGCTTCTGCCAAATCAACTCCTTGTATCTATCCCTTTAACATGACATTTTGTAACAATACCCTAGAGAGGTAGTATCAAGTTAATAATATTCTTATTGGTAAACTGACACAGCTAAAGCTTTTGTTGGTCTGACTTTTGGAGCCTCATTGGATTCTTGGAAATAGGATTCATTTAGTCATCCCTATAAAATCTCTAACTGCCCGATGCTCCCTGTGAGCATAAAAGTTACTAATGCTATTTTAAATGATAAATTTAAGATAAAATGCTTTTTACTCTTAAGCCTCAATTTAGAGGTAGAAAGTTCTCTTTTAAATGTATTTTCTCCTCTTAAACCATAAATATCAAGTCTAGTTCTGTTCCTTTCCACTATCTTTCCCCCCACAGCTGGAGAAACAATGCTCAGGAGAACAGGTCACCTGAGCCAATATTTAAAGAATAAAAACAGGTGCTAGCAGGAGGCATGGTGGTTAAGGCGCTGGACTGCCACACGATCAACTGCGGTTTGGGTCCTAGACCCTGGCGGCTTAAAAATCATGCCAGGAATGTTTGCATGTGTGAGCAAAATCTCAACAGGAGAATGGAGGAGAAGGAACTGCGGTATAGCTATCCAACTTGGTGAATGATTTCTCTCTCATTCTCGGTGAGTGCATGTGCCCTGTGGCAAAAACCTGAATAACAACAAGAATAAAAGAAACCAAAGTTGGATTCTCTTTCAGGAAACAAAGCCTTCTAAAAGGAACACTCAGTCAACAGAAGAATTCCTCCGTTGACTAGTAAGAGTCTGTCACTACCAAAGGTCTCCAAGGGCCCTTGTCCCCAGCACGTGCACTTCTATAAACCCTCCACCACTTAAACCAAAGGATGGTTTTCCAGTGTTTCAGAATTTCGAGCAGCTGTGATTTTCAAGTGCAACTACTTCAAGATATAAGCATACGTGAGCATGCGCATGTACACAAACACACATAAACACACACACACACACTCCCAAAGAATAAACACCATCAGGTCTCTGCCAAAGTTACACACTCATTGAAGTAAGGTTTTTGGAAACTTGTCTATATCTTTAAGCTTTTACAATATAGACTTTTGTAACATGGTTGCCAAGGGCCAGAATTGTAAGATTTAGCCAAGATTCTAAATTTAACCAGTATTTAAAAAATATATACATTTAAAAGGAATCTAAACCAAACTGTATATTGGTGTCTTGGCATAAAAACAGAGCCAGTACTGCCTTCTCCCCCTTACAGAGCTGACAATATACCAAACTTCCATTTCCAACTGTTTAAAAGTATTTTAAAAACCTAACAGGTTTAAAATCTCGAACAGTGAAGGAAAATGGACTAAAACCTCCCTGTGATTTATAAGGGACTTAACAAGAGTTATGCTTTTTGTAACTAAACTCGGCTCTAAGCTTTCCCTTTGTGCTCTAAGATAACGAAGGGAAATGAAACCCAACTGGAACCTGCTCTTGGTTCCATGTCCAGCTCCTCAAGCTGGTCAATAGTTTGCTTATGCATTTCTCAGGACTAACCAAGTGCTACAAATACTACCTAAAAACAGATGATCGACTTAGGGGAATTAAGATTAGATCTATAACTATTAGCTGCTTCTACCCCTGCTTTTCATAGGACTCTTGTTCTTTTAAAAGGTCAGTTGCCTTAACAATTAAGCAGATCAGGTTTCATATCTGCTTCAGGAAGGGCAGTTTCTTCATTACCAGCTTCAGACTAGGTAATCAAGTGGCACATTTGCTGGACACTTTCTTAGCATCCCACTGGATTCTGCAGTAATCTTTTCTACCCCTCCAGGAAAGACTCTTATCAAATTTCGCTCGTTTCCTATTTTCGCTGCTGTAACTCCTGTTAAGAATCTGGGACCCAGAAGTCATGAAGCTGCCCCTAGAAAAGGGAAGGGGGGAGAGATAGGATAAAGAAAAATTAAATCAGATTATGAATTAATCCTTATAAAACTAATCAGACAAAGGGCTTTGATAATGAAAGTAATAAAAAATCATTATATTGTACATTTCTCTGAAAATTTATGGTAATCACAGTTAAATTTCATATTTTGCACTCTAACAATTAAAGTATAAAATAAGTACAGGATGTTATTTTCACTAGCACACACACAGACGAACATATTTAAGGAGATTAATATGTTAAGCTGATTAATATTTGTGCTATTAAGTTCTTTTCTGTTTTTTTTTTTTTTTTCACTGTTACATAAAGACTTGCTATTAAATTCTTTTCTGTTTTAATGCCACATAAGCACAGATAGCCATCCTAAAAAGTACACTGGGGTTTGAAACAACAACAAAACACAAGTTTAATATTCTCAAAGATGGGGCCAGTAGGTGGAGTGGTGGTTAAGGTGGCTGGACTCCGGTATGGCTGACCGCAGTTCAAGTCCCAGACCTGGCAGCTTGCTTTCTCACTTTCCTCTTTCTCTGGTCAACTTCAAAAAAGATTCTCAAAGATGGGCCAGCAGGTGGCATGGAGATTAAGGTGTTGGATCCCACATGGCTGATAGAGTGGTTAGAGTCCTGGATCTCGTGGTTTAAAAATCATGGTGGGGACGACTGTGTATGTGCCCAAATACCCGAAAGGGCTGGAGAAGGGATTCCATGTGGCCATCCCACCTCATTTCCTCTGTTTCTGGTGAGTGCACACACCCTTACAGCAAAACTGGAAAAAAAAACTCAGATTCTTAAAAAAAAAAAATTATTTATTTAAATTCGACCAGAGAGGGACAGAGAGAGAGAGAGAGAGAAAATGAGAGAAGAAAAGTAAGATAGAGAGCCACCAGG